ATGTAGATCGATCTCAGCCTCCTGATTTTCTGCAAAAAAACATACATCTTTGAATTCTTGTAAAAGCTCTATGTCTGGCTTCTTATTTTCGACAGTATCTTCTGTTATTGTTGATGTCTTGTCAATTACTCTCTCGTTTGCATTGTCCTTCACTTTGGGTCGAAATTCTACGAAATTTTCCGATACTATTAAGTCCGCTTGCTTCAATACGCTGTTTCCTATTACAGCTGAGTATTGGATGTCGTCTCTGCTCGTAACATGAAAGGTTATATCCAGTAAGATACCATCAACTTCGACTTGAGTGACAAAGCTTCCCAGTGTATTTAGCTCACTATTACAGATACCAACAAGACACTGTTTTTCATTATTCAGTTCAACTTTTCCTAGCTCTTTAAGGATATCATCGCGTATCAGACAGAGGTCACAGCCTGTATCGATTAATGCAGAGAAGCATATGTTCTTACAAGACAACTCCTTAAAAATGCATTTTCCACTACTGTTGGCCTTGTTTATCATCGTGTTCGCATTTTGGCCTTCTTTCTTCTCCACTGCACGCGATCCTGAACAGTTAGCTGCCTTATGCCCTGGTTGAGCACACTTGTAACATTTTATTGGCTGTCTACATTCTCTGGCTAGATGTGATGGATCGCCGCATTTGAAACATTTCTTAATTCGTTCTTTATTCAAGTCAGGTTTCTTTTCTTCGGTATCGTTATGCATCCTACCCGTATTAGACGCTTGAGGGCGACTACTACGGATTTTCTCATATACCTTGATTTGTTCTTTTAGTTGCTGCAGAGTCTTGGCCTGATACAGATTACTTTTGTTACTCCTCGAGTCAGGTATTCCCTCAATAAAATATTCTATCAGGCTTGAGTCATCCAGGTTAAGAGGTCCGCCAATTTCCATAAGGCTATACAGATATTCTATATAATCTTCACCTTGACGCTTACGCCTATTCCGCAACATGCGGTGGACGTCTATTGATGAAACTACCGTCCCAAATTCTTCCAATAGCGCTTGCTTTAAAGATATCCAATCTGAAATTCCATGCTGACTGCGCACGAATAATTTTGCTGCACCTTTTAGTAATTGCTTTGAGTAAATAAATTTCTGAAGGTCGTTCCACTGCACTGCCAAAGCGTTATCTTCAAATTCATGAATCCATTTTTCAACAGCTGGTTGATTTGACCCATTGAATTGCGAGAGTGAATCTTCAATGTCGCGTAATGTAAACGTTGTTCGGACTATCTGCATTGGTGAGCTTTGACGGGTATGAGCCGACCCAGCATCGTCATACTCAGATTCATTATCGTCAACCTGCAACCCATAATATTCTAAAAGTCGGTCTTGCAAAGTTTGCTTTCTACCTGTTGTTACCAAACTAAGTGCCGATAACTTTTCTTTTAATTCGTTAACTCTTAACGCCAAAATTTCGTCTCTGTTCATTTTGTTATCGTCGTTGCTCGCTTTTCACAATGCTTAAAATTGAATCTTACAAATAAACAATTCAATGTACTTAACTTAATGGTATAAGTAATTAAACTCTTATGAATCAAATTTTAGTTTTTTTTTTCAGCAACTTTAGAAATTATTAAATTATTATATTCGTCTGTCTTAACTTATACTTTCACTTTGTGTTTGCTTACACTTAATTTCTTCTTTGTTATAATTTGATTCTTTGAAAATTTTTTACTGATTTAACACTCTTTACTCAACAACTAGTTAATTATTTTCATATAATGACGAAATAACATACTCTGTTGTTGATCTGTAACTTGATACACCCTGTGATCATCGTTGTCGTGTTGAAGCACGTTCCAGTCACACGCTCTTTTATTGAAAGATTCCGCGCTCTTCGCTCTTCGCCTCTTTGATCTGCAACTTCTTATTTCATCACGAAGTGAAAATTTTGCGCTATCCAGCCTTTGCTACGCAGAATTTAAAACATCGCCTTCTCGCTTGCGCTTATCGACCACTGTCACGCAATACACGACTGTTTGTCTCGCTCTTACTAGAGCTCTCTAGGCATACTTCGCCGCTGTCGCCATTAATCCTAGACGATTCTTGACTTTTTCCATTTTTTCCAGGGCATACGAATTTTAATGAATTTTCATGCACCCGCTTCGTTTTATGCTCCGATTAATAGTCTTGCATACGTTTGTACTCGTTAATCAATTTACGAATTTCACAATTTCTGTCTATCCCACTTCTGACACCAAATTTGTAGGGATGACCATTCGATGGCCTTCACAAGCACTTGAGTTCTTTATGTTCATATTATTTTATTTAGAGAAATTGGTGAACAAGCGTAAACTTATGATTATTGTACATTTTCCGACATGTATTTCAAAGACAACGAGCAACAGCGAACACATCTTTTCATTGACTCTTCTAGCTTACAACTGAGCTTCTCCTTCTTGTATTTTTATCGATAAATCTATCGTTGATTAAATATCCATAGCAGGGTTGCATATGATAAGTGATTTTATATTACCAAATGAGTATAATGCCAACATTATACTCGCCTGTTTAATTTAACTGATTGTAAGTTCGACCACTCCTAGTTCTGTTTCCAACTCCTACACGTATATACATATATTTTTTGTCATTGGTTTTGCGCCGTTTTTTTACATTTTCTGGCATTTATTTTATTGCATTTTGACTTAACTAAATTAAACTTTTCCCTTTGCTAAATCTCCGCTGATCTGTAAACGTGATAATAACGTATTGCTCATAATAAAGTAAATCATCAGTCACTACTAAAATGTTAATTAATAAAATACATAGTTACATATAATATATATTTAACGCCGTCACTTATGCATAGGGCTGTGAAACCAATGTAATTATATTTTAATTACACAGCAAACCCTAAAACAATATTAAAATGCATCATGTGAATTCAAATGCTTCTTTATTTTATGTTAGTATTAATGCTTAAATGTCTAATCCTTAGGTTGTGGACCAAACAATAAAAGTCAATTGTAAAGAATTGCATTCATAATAGCCACAACAAAAAATGAAAGAAAACTTTCATTTCACGCCAAATTGTGCTCAATGGCAAAGCACTTGTCCAGCAACTCATAGGGTAATAAATTGTGAAACGAACAGACAACCGGATATGGCGAAAGTTTGTCACAGTTTTTTATGCAAGCAATACCAGGATAATTGTGTGCAGTTTATCAGCCGTGCAATCTACGCCTCATTGGACACAAAGTAATGCAACAATATGGCTAGAAAAGGGCAGCAAAAACCACAATTAGTCCTTTTGTCTGTAAAATGGAATAAGTCAAAAATCAAAAAAGCAATTGAATTCAATTAACATCGTAAGAATTCTATAAACAAAGAATAATATTCCGCGGTGCCAAATATTTTTAGTCCTTGTTGTTTGCACCGGTATTGTATCGTCTAATTTATATAATTCTTTTTTAAGTTTTTAAGCTCCAAATTAAATTATTTAAATATTTTAGCTAACAAATATCGTTTTTTTTTTATAGCTGCAGTAGCATGATACGATAATTAAATTTACTAGAGACACAATTTCATATTTTTATTCTAATTGAAGAAGCTACGCTTCGTTACATATTTTTAATACAGATTTGTCAGTGCTTCACATTCGATGGATAAAAGTTTAACAATTATTATAATTTAATACTTATTACCATACTTGATTTACATTGAATTTGTATCTAGTTGAATGTACAACATGTTGCAACTTACATGTTGCCAGAAAATGTGAAACATTTTTGAAATATTTAAACGTTTAGATAATTTCCCATTATGAGACCATAAAGACTTTAACGCTGTGTCAACAGTTTTTAAATGTTAAATGTTCATCAAAAATTTCAAAATGATATTGTTTATTTTTTTTGTTAGCAGATGAATTAATTCATTACTTTTATTAACAAAATGTTTTCACCAAAGATAAGAAATAAATACAGAATATAAAGGAAACAAATATAAGGAATTTTGTGGTTAATACAAATAAATTTTTTTAAATTTAAACACAAAAATTTGTAAAATATGTTGTTTTTATAGCAAAACACAGCTAGAGTCATTAACCTTAGTAGGTTAAATATAAATTTTAGCACAGCAAAACGCTCGTAAATAAATAATAGCCTGTATGGTTCCAGGCGAATGCCTCTGTGCGTATGCAGCGTGCGATTAACTTGTTTTTCCAGCATTAATACGCATACGCCATGAGTACCGAATGCGAGTTGCAAATGCAAAAGTGGCACATTAAGCACCATTGAGAAACGAAGCATAATTTATGCGTATCCATGTCCGGCTACCTTTACCGTAATGGCGATAATGCCATGCTTCATTACGTCCAACAGCGCAACATTTAAAACTCTTTATAGGCCGAATATTTACGAAAAGGATATTTGTAAATTGGTGCATCTGTGTTTGTTTATTGGTATGTTGTTGATGTTGATGTTGATATATAGTACATATATATATATATATATATATATATATATATATATATAGTACATATATATATGTATATGCATACAGGTTATTAAAATATACGATGACATTTTTATTTTTCTTAAAAAATTTTCGAGCTGTGTTGATGACAAAAAGTCATTTTCAATCCCTTTATACAAAACCACATGTTTACAATTATTTTTATTTTTAATGCTTTTCTTGTTATGAATCAGTATGCTTCAAGCCACAAAACTGAAAACTGTCCTTTAACTTAAAAGTTTATCCAAGTAAAGTGGAAACGAAGCCATGAAAAGTTTACGGTTGAAAGTTTATATATGTCTGCGTTCTGTGGGTTTACATAAATATTTTTTTAATGAAGTTATTTTCGTAAATATTAAGGTCTTTTTATAGCTCTTTCTAGGAATTCTGAATATTTAATTTAAGTTGAAAGATTTTATTAACAAGTTTTACAAGTTTATTTCTACTTCAACAAATGTGTGAGAAATAAATTATCGCTTGACTGTTGATAACTATTTGTTACATTTCAGACCAAAAAAGAAATAATATTTACGTATAATCACTACGATCGACCTGATTTCATATTTATTTGGATTTGGAAACTTTTGAATACATTTTTTAAATAAAAAATTAATAGTTTTTCAATCCGATTTTAGAGAGAAGCTTACTGAATAACGAAATGGGAGTACCCCAGCATTAATTAAAGTGCCAAAGAGAACGGTATTTTCTAGGAAATTTAACAATTTAAATTTTCCACTTTGTAAGTTCATAAATTTTAACTGTATTCAAATTGTTTGTTTACACCATGTCTGAATGGAGCCCATCTGCGGTTGTTAGGCGCCATTGTACGTGCTTAAAATAAATAATCGAAAGTAGAGCCCACAAAAATGTTGAATAATATCAAACACGTGTCGGACCCACATTCATGGGACAAAAATGTCAAACAATTTGATACAGAACAGAATATGTTCAACCTTTTGTTTGGGCTGTTTTCGGTTTATTTTTTGCTTAATTCTTCTACACAAATTATCCGATGATTTAAAAATAGGAGGTAAACTAATAAAATCGTCAGTTACTCATAAATTAAACATTGTAATTTGGATGAAAAACGGGGAACTAAGTAAAAAAAATTAAAGGTAATGCGCTGAAAAACGAATGTATAAAAGACCCTGCGTATATCGCGATTATCGACAATATTAATTTAATATTTAAATATGGTATTTGTTTTCGAACAATTACTTCTTAAGCCTTTCTAATGCTTAATCATTTTAGCAGCTCAGAATGAATCGTAGCAATCCTGTAATAGGCCAAACGTTGAATAGAGTAAAAGTCATAAAAATGTTTATGTCGAGTATATGAGCACACAAGCTGTGGAATATCACATAGTTATCAGGGGTCAGTGTAAACATTGTTTCTCCCCGCTTGTGGATTATATTGTTAGTCGTGCATAACACAAATAAAATGTTTTCAGGGCACCACAAGGCCATGTACTGTGTCTGTCTTCGACATTTTTACCGAAATGTCGCTCAGGCAATTGGAGCCAATGAATGTTCTAAGTAGATCTTATGCCCGAAAGAAAAGGATATTAAACGCCATTTCCTGTTAGGAACTGTTCCCTATCGTGGCTGCCTCTTGCGAATATAAGCGAAATTTGCCTGACAAGAAATTAGCAGACACAAAAAGTTGTCTGCATACACTTGCAAAATGGCCATTAAATTGACTTTACGCTTCAAAACTTTTGCGTAGACAACACAAAAGAAAGTTAACGCGCAGCATTAACACAGTGGGCCAAACAACTGACCCATTCCCACTGCCAACTCCTTAAACAATCAGTCAATTATCACATCCTCCCCTTACTTCCTCAACTGCGTGCCGCTAGACCACCGCTTGGTTAGGCACAGTTTACCTTGGCTACAGTTAAGGGTTGCCTCGAAAAACGTTTGACTGCACCTCCAGTGAAATTCAAATGAATGCACCCAGCAGTGCGAAGGTGAATAATAAAACAATTCACTTGGCAAACAAGTCGGTAAAAAGCTTCAAAGATTCAATTCCCTGCGGTCTAAATTAAAAGATTAGTCTACTTTTTGCTTACACTGCGTATGAGTGATTTAGTGTATGATTGGCATTATGATTCAGCTCGTTATGATAGGTGCTAATGTTTATATTTAAGCTTATTTCATACAGTTTTGGCTTTAGATTTCGAGCATGCTAAACGAATTCATAACAGCTCCCAGATTTGAGGTGCCTTATTTCATTACCAGTGTTATTGCATCTTAAATAATATATGTGTCGATGTGTTGGAAGGAAATTCAGCGCTTAGCCGTCGGTTGTCCTTGTGTAGCAGAGCGGTACAGTCACAGTCAATTAAATGATTGATCAATCATTGTCTCTTTCAGCAGCTGTGTCCATTAGATGCATCTCCAATTGAAAGATAATGATTGCAAATAGAAAACATGGTGAAATTTGCTGAGCGGAAAAAAGTAACTCAAAACAAGTAAGTGAAGTCTTAAAAATTTATAAAAGTTAAATCTGAACACCCTTTCGGCAGCTAAAAGTCCTTCTGTGCGTCACGCAGCATTTAAGCTAGTGGCTGCGTTATCGTAAAAAAGTAATTTTTCGTTTACTTCATCATTTGACCGCAGATTCGCCTTATGTATAATATATGCCGAGAACTTAACTTGCATTCTATCCTTATATCACATACTCCAGCTATCGAGTACCACAATATTGAACCGATTTTTTAATTAAAATTCACAAAAAAAAAAACAGCGCTAGCCGAAAGAATGTTCTGATTAAGGTGCCACTCAAAGGAATATGAATATGAGCAGCTTTTGCAAGCCACAAATGAGTCCGTTTTTTATGCTATATTTATATTTCGAGTGCAAAATGACCGCATGATTGCAATTGAAAAGCCAGGGTTGTGGTTCGTTAGCAGAATTGCGTTAAGCCTTTTATTGTTGCGATGGCCATTTTTTTTGGGTTTGGTTTGGTTTTTTATAAAGTTTGTATATATTTTTTATTACCTGCTCCGAAAATGCATTGGGCAATAGCATTATACTGCAAACCGATTTACTCATATGCCGTACATCTTGTAAGCTCGAAGGCATTTCTTTAGTTTTTAATTGAATCTTCTAAATGGAACCATAAAACCTTTTTACTCTCCTGCTGATGGATCCATACCTTAATGCTGGAGTAATCAATATAGTGCAAATATTGTTAACATATATTAAAGGAATACACTAAATTTTTGCAGGAAATTTATCTCTATTGACAACAGAACAATGTAAAGTAGAAAGCTGGCACCTCACATAAAGCCTTTAACGAAATCAAACGCACAAAACCAATAGAAAAAGGAAAATAATAAATAAAAAGAAGAGACAGAAGAATTTTATATTGAAATCGATAAAAATTAAGTTTTTGTATAATGATATGCTACGTACCAAAGAACTCATCCTTTTTTTTGTGCAGTAGCATTCTACTAACTTAGTCCTTGAGTCTGTAATAAGTAGCTTTGAATGTTGTTTCGGTTATATTACAAACTCATTCATGAGCAAGCCATACGGCAAATCAGAACAACCAATAGAACATCAGCTGTCACGTTTGATTTCCATATGAATAGCTTCCATTTTTGTTATGATTTCATTATAATCTTGCAGCTGCCACTCAAAAATGAATACAAGATATGCATATTCATTTTTCAAAGCAGCAAAAAACCACGACTCAGCCGAGTGGCCGATTTCTTATAACGGGTTTTAATTAAAATGTTCTTCGATGCTAGACACAGCTGCTTAAATGAACAACGATTAATCAATCATTTGATTTGACTCGTTGGCTCGCAATCCGATTATCCGCAAATTAAGCACAGCTTTTTATTTAGATTTCCTTATTCTATTTTTGAGATTTTTCTTTTGCTGCGTTCGTTGAATGCTATTCACAAAGGATTAAATTAAATAAGCTGCAAATCGAGCGTACATACTCGACTCAATTTTTTTCTATGCCAAATGCTTGTCAAAAAGGTCGGAATAATTAAAATGAATTCGCATTGCTCAAATAATTAGAATCTCGTCATGTTTCTTACTTTAATATTGCGATTCCTCTGATAAGTCTGGGATTGATTTAATACTTAAATAAATATTGGCATTGGCTAGAAGCATAAATGGAAGATACAAAAGGCACATTGAAAGAAACATTATAGTTTGTATTTGTCCCATTCCAATCTTATTATTGATGCAAAATACTCGAGAAAACACACGAATAATATAAAAAGTTTACTCAGCACGCTCTGGACTTGCGCTATTCATTAGCATGCAAATCTGAAAATTTATCAGGTGGTGGCCGAGTTCCTCTCAGGACCGCAGCTGTAAAAGCCCCTGCAAACTGAAACAACTGGCAGGACAAAGTTTGGCATACGAATTATGCACAAACAGGAACAGAACAGAGCAAACTATTTCAATGGTTCGCTAGTTTAGCTTAGGTACTACGGTTAGAATAGGTGGTAATTATAATTATCTTTTTATTATTTACAGCCGCCAACCCAAAGATTGGATTGGCTTTACTGGTAAACTGAGCTAAGCTTTAAGGTTATATTGATGAAAATTCATACTATGACTTTTTCTGTTATGGACGATATGTATTAGGACCATCAGGATCTGATCATTACTTCTAGACAAAAAGTTATATAAATGTTTGAATCTTATTCCTAATGCCTATTGCATGCATTGGATTTATTTATAAAATATGTGCATCCACTATGAGAAAAGGCCTACACAAATTTAAAGGATTCTACACGTAACTCTGGGAGTATATATGAAAGCATGTTTTTCACTTTTACTCCTATACGGTATATATTAATATACATATTACGGATTTTCCTGCCGTATTTATCAGCAGTCAAAGTTGCACTAACAAAACATAGGGTCTGCGATTGAAATAAATCATTTCACCTTGTTTTGTTCGCCTATAGCCTTTGGCTAAAAATTGATTTATTTTTCTGGCACATTTTTAGTGTTTCATTTTTTTAGGGCGCAATTAAATAAACATTTCACGGTTACTGTAGATACATAAAAATGATATATGACCGTATACGTATATTTCGCCAGGTTGCATCAACGGAATGGGAAATTGATTTTTGTTGAATTATAGTTCACATGTGTGTGTCACAGACTTTAACCCGTGATATTCTGAAACTCAATCTAACATCTTTTTCAAGGCATTTGTAGGTATATTTGATGTACCACCTTTTTTAAGCCATTGTTTCAAACGTTTCGAAAAATGCGTTGCTCATTGGTGGAAATGGGGGTCAATAAATTGGTGAGTGACGTTTCGTGCTATAAATTATTTTCAACGATCTATACGAAAAATTAAGTAAGACGTGGTCAACACTCTTCGCAGAATCCTTTCTCGGTCGACTTCAAACTCATTTTCAAAGATCTTTGAAAGAATTTTTTATACGTGTTACGGGCAGTAAGCCCGCTAGTAAACTTAATTAAAATCTAAATACATTTTGGAACATTAGATTATTAAATTGCAAATTTGTAATGCTTTTACGATTCTGCGAAATGCAAATATTTCAACATCAACAGTAGTTAAAATACTGTTTATTTGACAATAAAATCAAATCTCAATTTATGATTGCAATTGCAATTTGCAATGCAACGAAAATTTGAAAGCTGCCAGCTACTGGTCTGAGCTATTATGCAGAAATGTGACCATAAAAATAACACAACAACTGCAGGAGAGATACAAATATTTGTTCAATATTCTAATTGAATTCATTGTCTGCACATGATTGAAATATTTATTTGCTTCTCTTTCAGCTTCAACAGAAGATTAGCCTAATTTTAAATTTTCAGTTTTCTCCTGGTACTTTTGTGTTCTTAATTGTATTTCAAGAGATTTTAAAAAGCACGAACGGATTGAGTGATATATGTAATTATATGACTTTTAGCACTATGCAAAAACATTTGCCGGTATAACTAGCTTAAAATTTAAAAGTATATTGAATGGAATTCTGTGTCCTTAGCTTGGCCAACATTAACACTCGCATCTCTAAATATATGGGGCCCATTAGATGAAACACATTAGGCTGCATAAATATTTGCCATTTGCAACATAATTCTCTGCCTCGAGAATGTCATTTTGTACAATTACTGAGACCGCAGTCCTGCACATACAAAAAGTCAGCCAAGTCCTTGGCACGCATTGCATCCATCTGCATTTTCAACACATTTGGTTTTGCAGCCAAATTCTTTTGGCTCTTTGCTTTGCTGGCGAAGAAAATTTGCTGAATTCGCCAAGCTCTTGACATCAGCAAGGAGCTGGCCTTAAGTGTTCATTACAAGTGAAAAAGAGTATTTGTTTTAACTGCCGATGAGCTTTTTCTTTTTGATTATAGAATTAAAGGTATTCTCATAGCTTTGCATTACATAAAAATAATAGAAAGTTTATGTAACAGACAAAACGAGACTTCTTCGACCGAATAAGGTATATTCGTTTATTCTTGATCAAACCATAAGCCAAGTCAATTTAGCCAAGGACCTTTGATCTTGCAGACTCTAAATGCTCAAGATGGAATATAGAGCGTATACTTATATCAACAAGTCAACTTCACATAAGACATGTCAAGGATAAGGACTACGCTGGAACTCTGTGGAAAAAAACACTTATTCACTAAGACTACCATGTAATTTTATTGAACTCAAATCGTACATAAGCTTTTCAGTCTTGTTGGTGTCCTCGTATGCCAGCATCAATTCTTTAAATAGAAAAGAAAATATATTTATCTGTATGTTGAATATGTTTAATAATATCTAATTTTGTCTTATACTTTATCTGTGTATGTATCCTTTTACAACTTTCACGACTTTATCATTATTCTTATTTGATTTAATGTTTGTTTATTTTCTTTGCTTTGTTTTTAAATGTCTTTACCTGAACAATTCACAGACAATCACACACTGAAAACCGACAGCCGAGACAGGTAAGAGATAAGTACAGTCAATGCTATTTATCTTCTCCTCCAGACAACCAGGAAATATAACAGTATATTGTTTGGTAAGCTTAAGTCGTGATAAGGGGCTGTGGTTTCAAGTGGCCACCAATTTCAGTTGCTTTATCTCTTTAGCCCAACTGCCTCGACTGTCAGCCGGCGTGTCTAGACATTGTTGACAGCTATCAAAGCGGTACACAACTAAATACAACTTGTTCTTCAAACCATGCTCACACCAGCATTAAAGGCATTGGGCTGTTAAAAGCTAGACTCGAATGCCCAATGCCCAGTGTCATTGGCCACTTCAGAATAAAAACACGCTACCAAAATCCTTAACTAATGAGTGGCTCATTCGCTTGCTGGCTTCCCAATTATTGCTAAGATTGCCCTAAAGCTGCGCGTGTGCTTAATGAGCAAAAGACATACAAACATGTATATATTTATATGCACATTAAACTTGTGGTTCCTTTATCTTAGCCTGCTTGAGAATTTCCTCCCCCGCGGAATTATGTTTAAGTTTATATTTTGCTTTGGCAACTAATTGGTTGAAGGCATTAAGGTAAAGTTCTGCAAGAGTTTCGATGAGAAACAAAGGAGTATACAGATTGAGACAAAGCTTAGAATATGAGATATAAAACGAATAGTAATATTCGCATTCACGCCTTATTTTTGATTACTTGATAAACAGATTTACAAGATAAAATACCCTTGGCTTGTAATTTCCTGTGCTCTTCAGTTTCAAAACAGACAAATTTTATTTCCTCTCTCATATTACAGCATTTCTTATATTCAGATTTAAGATGGCTTTGAAATAAATTTCTTTTTATTTCTTATAAATTTCTTTCTTAATTGGTGCAACTGAGACTAAGATCAGCTTCAAAAGCACAAATAATACTGTCTGCTTCCGTTGTGATTTAAATATAAAACGCACAGATGAAATGGCTCAAAAAAATAAGCCGTCCTTCATCATGCCACGGAAACAAGAGCTGCATGTGAGTTTTCCGCGCATCATGTCAGAAGTTCGTCAATGCGAGGATGAGAGGATGATGAATTCTTCGCACGACTACGATACATTATTTTTGCCACACTGGATGCATAAGCAGTTCATCGAAAATGGGGCAGCTCCGGATCAAGCGTTCTGGAACCAGAGCATAAGGAGAGACAGCAGAAATAATATGAAAAGAAAAACTTCCTCTTCAATGAAACCGCATTTGCTGCTACTGCAGAGTAGTAGTGAGGCATCACAGGAGGATCAAACAGCGAAGGAACCACATGATCCACTAATGGGCTTTCATAATAAGTACTTTCCAAGCACTTCATTTCTCAACTGGTCGAAGCTGCATTCCAAAGCTGCGCAAATGCACGCCAAGACCCGGGAGCTGGTGCCATATCAACAAGCGACGGTGGATCTGGCACAAGCTATTGGGATGATGCAAAACATTACGGTGCATGACTTTGAGACGATCTGGCAGCCAGTGAAATTTAGCTCAAGAATTTCCATAGCCAAACACATGTCCAACGTGGAGGACCGGCGCTTAGGTAAGCTATAATAAGGTGGATATCCTTATTCCTTCACCGACATAAGGACGACTCATAGAACCCACAGAGCTACTCATGATTGCCGTCCGCAACTTTTGGTTCGACAATTTGGAATTGAAAATCGGAAACGAGTTTATGCATGTTGATCGGTATCTATTCTGCCATTACATGAAAGCTTTTCACGACCACAGCAATTGCTTTCTTGAGCTTCCCAGCCACAAGGTCTCATTAAATCTGATGGTGAGGCTGTACAATTGGATCATTAAAGACCACAATGAGCTGGCACTGGGCAGTAACTTTCTGCTCATGTATATGATGGCCAAATTCCTGGATGTGCGCTATCTGCTGGAGCAATACTGGTATGCATTTTCAATTCCTGGCAATAAGGGCATTTGGGAGGCGGAGGCATTCCATGCGTACTTGCCGTCACGTCAACTTCAATGCGGCGATTTGATGTCCATATTTTTAGCTCGCATACGCAAGTGCTTCCTGCCACTAGTCAGCTCTTTCGAGTTTCTCAATCTCAGTGCCAACGAGGTGATCTATTTGCTCAAAATGGATATGATATGCGTCAACAGCGAAGACGAAATGTTCTTTGCCGCCATCCGCTGGCTCGAGCATGACTGGCAGAACCGAGAGCAGTATCTTGTTCATGTGATGGCCACGTTGCGCTTTCGCATGCTGTCGCCCTGGCTGCAACGCTCTATTGCCTATCAGCCAGAAAACGAACAGATCCGCAAAGTGGGTTCAAACAATATAGTGAAAGCTATGTTGTGGCAAGCCTGTCTATTTGGGGAAGCGGCTTGTGCCTACAAGGAGAATCCGGACTGCCACGATAATGTAATTGTGGGCAAGTATAGCCAGATTAAAGACGTCGAACGGTTTTGGGCCTACTGTCAGGGCGTGCCACATCACCACGATATTAGATGCCCGCGTTTCAGACAACTCACCTACGGCACATTCAAGCTTTTCCTAAATCGCCTGCAGAGCGACGCGCATAGCTACATGGACGAACTCAAGATTGTGCCATACAAGCATTGGAACACCTACAATTGCTGCAATGACTTCAAATCCTTTGGCAATGGCAAAATACAAGCAAGATTCGTGTGCTCACCTGTCTACAAATTCTAATTCAAGTGGGCTGCTAAGATAGCTAGGTACTAATTGGATTCCGGCTCGAAGGTTTATAATGACAGCGATGGATTGCATTATACGCTACAATAACATTAATAGCATCAAAATGTGCTTTAAACTATAATAAAGAATTTAAAGCTGGATGAAAATGAGCTTGCATAGGATTATATCGAACTTACTTTACGACAATTCTTAAATTCCCAGAGTTGGGAGTTATAGTCTTCAATTTCGACGTCTTACCCGTTTCACTGAGTTTGGTCGATAGCTGCGTATGGGAGCAGGAGTGCGCGCACTCACCGCTAGACGGCACCTGCTCAGATTTAATTGAATGCATGTAATTTGTAAAGGCTCCTACTGGACATGTGAAAGGCGAGAGTCTTTGGCTTATATTCGTTAAAAAGTATGAGCAATATTACGTATACGCCATATGGGCAACACACTCGGCCAGTGCCAGTATTATAATATTCGCAAGCACTGGAATAAGAACCCAATCATTCGGCTTTCCACTATTGGTTGATGATGAAGTTGAGATTTCATTGCTGCTGTCGCGAAACTTGTGCCTGCATATCAAGCTTTCGACTTTGTGCTTGTTGCTCATTCAAGAAGCAGGCATAATTGTCCAAGTGTCCAAGTAAACTAATACGCAGAGAAAGGGTTTAAGTCTTATTGTGTAGAACTCACCATATCGGTTCTATTGGTCTGGCAGGCGCGCAGATCGACCTCATATTGCTCCAACTCTGTCAGTCGGTTAAGTAAGGCGTTTAGTATTTGGAAGACTATGGCTTCTAAATGTGAAGTGCAGCACCTTGTAGGGAATTATGCATTAGAAGAAGCTTTCATTTAAGTTGGAAAATTACTCACCTTTTAAATGATTCATCATGCGCTCGTCACGATAATCGTATGGATATTTCGCCGTCCACTCAGTCAGTAGGGCAACTAATGTCTCTAAACGTTCAGGTACCGAGTCCAGCAGTTTCCCAAGCAGCTTTTGTGGCCGCAGATACAAACGTGACAATAATAAAAATGAGAACAGAAACTCCTGCAAGGCATGTAAGACACAAATAGAGCATAAATAGAACCATAGATTAGTGCCAGAGATAGCGAATTTTTTCAGTTTATATGAAACACACGTAGACAGTGCTGGATTCAATTAGTTTCGATTGTTAGAATTTGCCAGTTGTCTATCAAATTAGAGCTAGCACCATTACTTATTTGCAATGAATAAATTATTATTGTGGCTGCATAGATAATGCGGTCAGTGTCAGTGTTGTCTCCGCCTAACTATTCACTGCTCCATTATACATTGGTTTGCTTATTTTGATGCCGTAGGCTGCATAATGAAATAAGCGTCTGGTTTCTTTGTAAAGTTTGAACCAAAATTCTCAAGTGTCTAGTCAACATCCCAGAAGTGTTAGCCAAATATTTTATTTGATATGTGTGTAGATCAATAAAGATATATACTTTCGAGCAAGTATATTCATAAGTTATAAAATTCATATGCAAAATAAAAGACACTTTAAAACATAAGCAAAAAATAGATTTATTGCATTTTAATGAAGCAATAGAAAATGTTGCCTTCAGATTCCATTATATTTAATTTTTGGTTTGTCTTTTGCATATACACAGAGCTATTATATCAAACATTTAGGGAAGGTTGAATCGGTGAATTTTCGAGTACATGGAAATAAATAATTTGTTTACTAAAGCGCATGAATTGTTTATTTCAATTATGTGTAAAATTTGTACAATCCAACCAATAAAAGCCCTCTGGTTCCATTAAAAATTCACCGTTCTTTCTATATCATGAATTTATAATCTTCATTTAATGCATGCATATGTTCGTTTATTTATTTGATTAAACAATGTACAAAGTTCATTCGATAGGCAGCTCTGATATTTGCAATTGATTACTTATTTAAAGCATTGACTTGCTTTAGTGTGAGCGCCTCACCAAATGCGTCCAGCGCTACAGAGGCTATTCTACCATATATGTACATAATGCCGCATGATAAGTGTGAAAACACGGTCTGAATATGATATTTAGAAATATATAACGATTTTGGATTTCATCGAGTTGATTTATTGGTCAACGTACGAAACTACAAGCCAGAAATTCCTTCTTTTTTTTTATTGCAAAACAAACTATTTAAATTTTATAAAAAATAAAATGTGTATAATTGCCTCAGAACCCATAGAACATTGCTGGTGTCTAAGCGGATTTATGGACATATCATATTGGAATATATCAACGCCAGGGCCCGTTGCTGTGGATTTTGCGGTGCTAAGCTATAAAATTCAACAAATTTATATGTTTCAAATAATTTAATCTGTAATAGTCGCACACCAAACTGCTGAATACCCAATTCCAAATCGCGTCCATTCAACTGATTTGAATTGTGCTAGCGCCTAAGTCCCATGCCCTCGTTTTCCTGCTCAAGTCCCACCTCCAGGCTTAAGGGTAATTCTTTTGCCTTCAAGTCGCTGGCATCGAGCGAAAAATGTTAACATCTGCACGTTAAGATGGTTTTCCACCTTGCATCTGACTTCGTCAGTACCTGTCTCGCTTTCTGAGCTTTGCTGATGGCATCTACTGAGCTGCCGATATATGTATAAGTTTATCGCGATCCTGTTGACCGCGCGACTTTTGCAGCACGGTTTGCTTGCAACGCGTGCCGCATGCTATGGATGATATCTTACTGGCATAAAAGTACATTGCCATATGTCACGTTCTGGTGGCCGCTCGTGACGCGGTCATGTGTGTGCTGCACGGCTGTGTTTGGGTTACAAATGGATTGCTGTGTGTTTGATTAACGCACGGACACACCCCAAACAGGTGACAGACCGTACGAATCGAGGACCATGCCTCGTAATGTTATCATCACGTCCACGAGTTACGTACGCTGCAAAGAATAAATAGTTAGACTGCGAAAATGTGCAGCATTTATTATGATTCAATGACTCGTCATCAAATCAACAGGGCGTACAACCATTCCATATTACTCATACGCCACGTACTACACGTTAAGGCCTTTGAGTCCCTTTATGAAAGTGAATTATTATTATAATTGTTTTATATTATTCATAAATTTGCATTAAAAATTACTTTTGTTTAAAGAATTTAAGTTTAGCTGGCATATTTAGAAGTTACCTAAATTTAAATTTATTGTAAATTGCATGGTACAGTCAAATTATATAAAACGAAAGGGATATTTGAATAAAATGAACACAATATAATTGAAGCTTGCAATTTTTAACAGCCTTTTTTATAGCCTTTAATAATTCATTATAAAAAAAAGGTTACCCTGTCCTCAGGCAATTCTTTACACTTCAAAACTGGATAACATATTTTAATTCCATTTCTTACGAATGTGCGCCTAATAAATTCCCAGCCAATATATAAAATACAAAATATACTGGTTTTCCGACAGTATTATAAAAAGTCTTCAAATTCGAGGACATTTAAACAGTTGTTTCTATTCTACCCTTAAAGCTGAAGAACCTGTTTGAAAATTACAACGGAATAACCTTGAAGACATTAAAAGTTATTTTGAAAAGTCGGTCCACAATTGTGACAGATTCTTGTCAAGCAATACCGCCTTCAATACTTTGGGCTGTCGCCTGGATAAAATCAAACACATTGTGCCACACATGTTGTCTATTGCCCTATATCTGAAAAACAGGAAAAATGATTAAATGGTTGTTATTAAAGATAATACACAACATTTTTAGGTTGACTTTTGCATTGAAATTTGTCTGAAATTTTCTTTGGAATACTAGATAAAAAATTTTACATAACTATGCCAATTTATATACATATTTTCAGAATCAGCTCCGTTGCCTCAGAAGTATCACGAACAATCGTTAAAAAACAACCGCAAGAATTCAATATATTGATAAGCTAAGGATGTTTGTTATTTTGAAATATTAATAATTTTTTGTGTGACCGAAAACTTACCATTCTTGCCCTTTTTGGCCAAAGCTTTATCTACTTTTCTACGCTGCTAGATGAAGTTCTTTCTTCGGTCTCCACTTTGTCCATATCTTCAACTGCTAAAGGCTTGTTGGTAGAAGACTCGCAACTTGAAAAGGAAATTATGCTATGATCGGACGAATAATCACCGTCTGATTCATTTTCAAGCATTTCTTGGAGATCTTCAGCATGCGTTGCTGAGTAGAAGTGATTGTTGCAATGCATTATTAACCCAAAGTTGATCGATTTAATAAGGACTTTTTGCAGCTGAGCTTTGGTTTGCTTGCGAGTTGCTTCATCGGGTTGCGCACCGCTAAACTCTGTCAGCAGATCGTCAAATGGAACTGGCGCCAGAGTTTCGCGTAAATACTGAACAACTGTCTGTTCATCGATATTAAGAGTCATTTTGAAAAATTCGGAACTAATTAATTATGACTGTTTCTCTACAAATATTAACGTAGAAAGCAATTTTTCTCTTTAAGAAATATTAAGTACGAATGATTTATGACAGTTTTTACATGGCACATTTAATTGACTTAAGCTCTTCATTCGATTTCGATTTTTAGTTTAATTATGATTTTATCGGCAATAAAAACAACTGAATTCTTTTCAAGTGAAAATTTCCTTTCCTAAGCAATTAATTTATATGCATAAAAAACATATACGATTAAATAAAGTGTATAACTTCAGTTGATAATTTTAATTACTTGACTGTGTTACGTTTGTCAAATTTGTCATTAAGATAACAATAATTGGACACAGATTTAGGATAGGATTTTTATTACAAACTGATTATTATTTGCCTCATGCACGTTCAATTATCCTTTTTGTGCCATTCAAATGTTTAATAGATTATTGTCATCTGCATGGCTTATACATTTTTCGATTATATTTACAAATTTACGAGGCGTATGAGTATTTGTAATAATACGGAAAACATAAAATAATCGTAAGCTGCATACTTACAGTTATTGTCGGCCAGAAACATATGTAATATTATTAATTTAAGAGCTCCATATTTCTGTGCGTGACTGTAAGTGGATTTTTAATGATAACCGATCGGTTGAGAACTGATTTTACATAGCATTTTCTATTTAATATTTAGCATTTAATCGCATAATAATAATTCCATTCTATTTTAACTTAACTTTTACCTCTATTAATTATGTTAGTGTGTATCTCGTAATAAGGAACAAGTGATATTATTAATTTATATATACACAAGTTAATCTTCGTCACGTTAATATTATTCATTTATTCATTTTAAAGCAAAATACATAAACTATTTGTGCGCTGTTTAAACCACACGCGGCAAACTTCCGCTGTGAACTAAATGTTAAATTTCTGTGTGTGTTGCTTTTGTTGCTGGCGAGCAGTAAAATAATGGGAAAATATCATCAGTGCCAACATAACTGATGGTAATTTGGCCAATTGTTTGCAACATGTTGCGCATCAAGCCTTAGCACAAGCTAAACCATTTCTTATATCGTCGAGTCCTTAAACTTGGTTTTGTCCCACTGTCAAAAAGATAAGTGGACGACTAATATAAATTGTAGGAATTGCTACACACGCCTCGTTTCAATTGGCGAGCTCATGTGCAGCCTCTCCTGAAAGTATGCTAAGTAAATACGCTGTCGAGAGCATTCTGTATATGTATAATGACCCTGCCAACACATCTGTGCTTACAGTGTTTTGGGGATGCCACGAAAGAGATATCTTTCCTCACAAAGTTGTATTCCCAATTGTTTTTGTTGGTTTGCTTTCCTTGTGAAATATGGCCAATTATGTGGCTGAAATATCATGTGGTTAGCTTCTTTGGCTTCTAAATCTATATTTAAATGCTTTAAATGGCTGTGCCGCAAAAGTTCACACAGCAAATTAGCGAAATCAATTCGAGCATTTTGTCGAGAGTGGCTTGGGGTCAAGAGTTTTTAACACGCACACTGACACATCCACAGCTCTCGTAGCTCTCGGGCAAACATTTTGTGAGGTCATTTGGGAAATTGCTGAGCAAAACTTGGACCAGGCAAAAGGGCAAAGTTTCAACCAGTAGCTTAAATTGCATATTTTTGTTGATTTTGTTATAGGGGAGTAAGAACTCAATATATATATATATATATATATATAGTGACATATCCATAGTCGCACCCACCCTTTAACATAACTTAGCACATAAGCATAAGCACAATTATAAACATTTCTAATATTGTAAACAAAGAGCCTGGTGATAACATCGACATTGGTCAAGATCAAACTGTCCCCCTTTGGTAGACATAAACAATTCACCCTAAATATCACGCCACTGTCAATGTTCCCATCAGAGTACTATCCCACGCATAATTGCTGACGCAGCTCAAACTTCACTCAATTTTGACTCAAACTCTCTCAAAGCGAAGTTTGCTAAGCGACCGCAACAGTTAGATAAATCAGTTCATATTCGGGAAGCAAATCTGAATGTACTCAACAAAAGTAGCCGTTAAGTGAAAATAATAAATTGAAATATATTTTTTTATAGTAACCTAACGTGTAAAACTTAATTGGCGCAGCCGGTAGGATACGTCGGGAAAAATTAAAGATCGCTAAAGGATAATTAATTCCCAGATCTAACGCACAATCGCGACCGAAAGTGTTGTCGGAGTGTAATAAAAATTTTCTCGAATACGTATCCGCACAAGAACCTTCGGGTCATTAGTAGCTTAATAATATTGACCCTTTGGGCAATAAAGCTACTACAGTTAATAACGACTGGCTTTGCATATCGTTTGATCCCTGCAATACGTTATTACTGAGTCTTTTTAAGACACACACACAAAAAAAAAAAAAACATTTACACAATAATCCATCACAAACTTTAACTTAAAATAAAAGTGCAAAATCAAAGAACAATAAAGTTCAAACCTACAAACTCAAAACTATTCAAAAAAAAGTGTATTACACCAAGATGACAATGGAATTATCAGAACAACACCTCAACCAGGCCCTTTCACAACTTAGACAGGTGCCAAGCTTTGACGGATCAACGGATCAACTAAACGCCTTCATTAAAAGGATAGATTACATCCTACACCTGTATCCAACCCGAGATGTTAGACAACATAGCATCTTATACGGAGCCATCGAATTGCAAGTCACAGGAGATGCTCAGAGAATATCACAAAGGACAGCAGCCAACACTTGGCAGGAGCTGAGAAACGCATTGATTGAAGAATACAAAGTGCAGACACCATTTGAAGAACTCCTTCGACGCTTATACAACACGAATTACCAAGGAAACGTCCGTAAGTTCATCGAGGAGCTCGAGAATAAATCTTTTGTTATTTTAAATAAGTTAGCACTAGAAAATATACCTAGCAATACAACCCTTTATACAAATGCTATGAATAACACAATCAAAGATGTTATTACAAAAAAATTACCAGATAGGCTTTTCATGATGTTAGCCAGACACGACATTACGTCGACACAAAAACTAAAGCAAGTAGCTCAAAGAGAGGGATTATATGAAAATAGCGTTACTGAAAAACCTAAAAATAATAATGTTCAGGGAAATCCAAATAACAATCGTAGGAACATGGGAAATTATCAGCAAAATGCTAACCCAACCACCATTTCAAGTGGCTATTCCAACACGAATCAGAGTTATCACGCACAAAATAAACAGCATAATAAGTCCGAAGACAATCAGAAAGCTCACCACGAGTTCCAACAGAAATTAAGTCAAGGTAGATACCAAAATCCCTTAAACTACCAAAATCAGTCCCATTCACGCTTGAATGCACCAAACCCTCCGACTAAACGTCAAAGAGATAGTAACAGTGGGCAGATGAAAATGGATACATCCGAAAATTTTCATCAGCAAGCCTCGGAACAAACAGAAGAAATCCATTCATAAAATTGATTATGAATGACGAAGTTCTAAAATGTGTCATCGACACAGGTTCAACCATAAATCTAATGAAAACAAACCGCTTAAATTTTCCAGTTTACAACGAAACATTAAAGGTTCACACCATAAATGGTGTTATTGAATTAAAACAAAGTATACGATTAGGAGCAAGCAAAATTTGTCCGAGCAAACAAAAATTCTATATTCACGACTTCTCAGAGCATTATGATGTTCTGATTGGGAGAGAATACCTTGAGGCATGTCAAGCAAAAATAGACTATGCACAAGGATCCGTAACCTTAGGAGAATTTAACTTTTGTTTTAGATATAATGACGAAGAGGTCGAAGAGGACATGACCGCACAAGAGTGCCTTGATCCACCCTCAACAGAGGACAGACCATTTAACTTCGCTATTAATAATGAATTAATAGAAAACAATGAGTTTAGGCTAGAGCACCTAAACTCAGAAGAAAAAGAAAAAATAAAAAAAGTTTTACATGAATTTCGTGATATCCAGTACCATGAAGGTGACAATTTGACTTTCACTAGTACAATTAAACACAAAATTCTAACAAAACATGAGGACCCAATTTACAAGCGTCCATACAAATATCCTCAAATATACGATGAGGAAGTAAATAAACAAATAAGCGATATGATAAAACAAAATATCATACGTAAATCCAAATCCCCTTACTGCTCACCAGTAATAATCGTTCCAAAGAAAAACGATGCATCTGGAATGCAAAAGTTCCGGTTAGTCATAGATTACCGCAATCTCAATGAACTAACTATTAATGATAAATACCCTATCCCGATCATGGATGAAATATTAGACAAACTTGGAAAATGTCAATATTTCACAACCATTGATCTAGCCAAAGGCTTCCACCAAATCCAAATGGATCCTGGTTCAATACCCAAGACCGCATTTTCGACTAAACATAGCCATTACGAGTACACTCGCATGCCATTTGGTCTTAAGAATGCACCTGCAACGTTCCAACGTTGTATGAACAATCTCTTAGAAGATTTAATTTTTAAGGATTGTCTGGTCTACTTAGACGACATTATTATTTTTTCCACTTCATTGGAGGAACACATTTTGTCGCTACAAAAGGTATTTAAGAAGCTTAGAGAAGCTAACTTAAAACTACAGTTGGATAAATGCGAGTTTATGAGAAAAGAAACTGAATTTCTCGGTCACATAATCACAACTGAGGGTATAAAACCAAATCCCAACAAGATACAAGCAATTGTCAAATTCCCAATTCCAAAAACCCCAAAAGAAATTAAATCATTTCTAGGATTATGTGGTTTCTATAGGAAATTTATACCAAATTTCGCTAATATAGTAAAACCATTAACACTTAAATTAAAAAAAGGAGCAAAAATCAATATAAAAGACAGAGACTACGAACTAGCGTTTGAAAAGCTAAAAGTACTCATAACATCCGACCCAATTTTAATATACCCTAACTTCGAAAAACCATTTTCATTAACTACAGACGCGAGTAATATGGCAATAGGGGCCGTCCTTTCGCAAGAGCATAAGCCTATATGCTATGCAAGTAGAACTCTCAACGAGCATGAGTTAAATTATTCAACGATTGAAAAAGAATTATTAGCAATCGTTTGGGCCACTAAATACTTTAGGTCCTATCTCTTTGGTCGACAATTTCAAATCCTTAGTGATCACAGACCACTCGTCTGGTTAAATAATATGAAAGAACCTAACATGAAATTACAAAGGTGGAAGATCAAGCTAAATGAGTTTGATTTCCAAATTAAATACGTCCCAGGAAAAGAAAATTATGTGGCAGATGCTCTGTCCAGAATTCAATTAAACGAAAACTTCTTAGGCGAAGATACAATTAGCACAAGAGCAACAATACATAGTGCTCAAGAAGACAACAGTAACCATTTACAAATCACAGAAAGACCACTTAATTATTATAATCGACAAATAGAATTTGAAAAAGGAACCGAGAACGAAACAAAAGTTACGAATTACTTTCACAAAACCAACATAAAAATTACGTACAAAGACATGACTAATACGCATGCCAAAGAATTAATAAAAGAATACTTATGCACAAAGAAAAGTGTGCTATACTTCCACAACGAAGCAGATTTTCCAATTTTTCAAGAAGCCTACTTAGAAATAATAAGTCCGAATAATTCAACAAAGGCAATGAAAACTAGTACAAAATTAATAGACCTTCAAACATATGCAGAATTCAAAGAATTAATATTAAAAAAGCACAAAGAATTATTACATCCAGGAATTGAAAAAACTATCAATTGGTTCAAAGAAACCCACTATTTCCCAGATTATCAAAATTTAATTCAAAATCTAATAAATGAATGTGAGATTTGCAACATCGCAAAAACAGAACACAGAGATACAAAATTAACTTTCG